AGTAACCACTAGAAAACATTGCATAGTAGTCACAATTCCCAAAAAGAGAACATTTAAAGCCTAGTACAATGCATGAACTCCATATTGTACTGGATTTGCATCCATTCATGCAGATTTATTTTTGAAATATATAAGAGCCCGTTGCGAGCAGATGTTTGTATGTAAGTTCGTATAAAATATGGCACACTTTTAGTATGTTGGCTAACCTAAAGTGTAATCGTTGTATAGAAGAAAAGTAACCTGATCCTTGTCAAAAATAATAAGGATCATAATTAATTTATTGGCAGGTAGTCAGAATTGACCAACTGAAAACTATTGGGATGGAAATTCTTGAAAATTGTGACGGCTTACCACTTGCAATTAAATTGATTGGTGGAGGCTCTTGAGCACAAGACACCCAAGTGAGCGTGGTGGAAGCTATTTTGAACATGCCTGCATGGTCACTCACTGGACTGCCTCTAGATCTAGACAACCAGGTTGTACTTGAGGTACGAGGATTTGTCTCCCCAGTTAAAGCAGTGCTTTCTATATTGCTCGATGTTCCCTAAAAGATTGTACCAATCTTACAAGATGAGTTACTGAAATGTGGATCAGTGAAGGCCTTATTCAACCACCAGATAAAAAAGTACCAGTTCACATGAGTATGATTTGGAAGACAAAGCAACTGAGTATTACCAGAGTTAATAAAGAGAAATCTTATAGAACCTATAGAAGGATATTATCTCACTGGATTCAGATGCACCATGCATGATGTGGTCCGATCCTTTGCTGAATATTTGGCAAGAAGAAGAATCAGTGATGGTTGGCCAAGAGCACGAGCTAATACCGGCGGTGGTGGGGTGCTTGTGCGTCGCTTGTCAGTAGGACAAACCGTACTAGTGGTGGAATGGGCTGTTTTGCAAAGGCACAGTCACTTAGAACATTAATTATGAACTCTAGGGTAAAACTTTCATCCTGGTGATTCAGTGGGTAGTTTCTCGGTCTACGTGTGATGTACATACTGTCCGCCAATTCTGATACACTAGTTCCCTCTCTATCTAGGTTAAAGCACTTGAGATACCTTCACCTAGAAGATACTGATATATCTAGGCTACCAGATGACATCCACAAGATGAAATTTCTACTGTACATTTCACTTGTTGACTGTGAAACCTATGCTATCTTCCTGGCAGCATCACAAAACTTGTGCATCTAAGGTCTCTTAACATCGATGGATCAAATGTTAGTGTAGTTCCTAAGGGTTCGGTGAGTTAACAAATCTGAGGTCACTTTATGGCTTCCCAGTACACGTGGATATGGATGCAAGCAGTAGCTGGTGCAGTTTGCAAGAGCTGGAGCCTCTCTCTCAGCTTAAGGATCTTACATTACATGGCCTAGAGAAGGTGCAAGACAGCCGAATGGCTGAAATGGCCATGATTAGCAGCAAACACCACCTTAGGGAACTACAGTTGGACATACTTTGGGGACAGGTGGTCGTGAGGCTGGGCAGCAGCACAAGCAACAGAGTGTAATTGAGGAGGTCTTGGAAAAGCTCTGCCCTCCAACCTGCATAGAGAATTTTACTTTGAGTGGGGGATATGTTGGACGCCAGCTACCGAACTGGATGTGTGCTCCAGCATCAGTAGACTTTAAGAGCCTGAGATATTTATGGCTGCAGAACCTGCCTTGCTGCATCCAGCTCCCTGATGGTCTGTGTTCCATCCCAAGTTTGGAAATGCTGGAAATCACGGATGCACCGGCCATCAAGTGTATTGGCCCCAATTCCAAGCGTCATCCACCATGGCAGCTACAGTTACCGCTACTAGCACATCAGCACCATTTCCTAAATTGAGACGGCTGTATCTGAATGGGCTACCTGAGTGCGAGGAGTGGGAATGGAATGACTGTGAGGAGCATAGTGATGTGGAAACTGCCATAGCCATGCCTTGCCTTGAGAAACTCCAAATCGATAACTGCAAGCTGAGCTGTCTTCCACCGGGCCTTGCCAGCAGCAAGAGGCATGCTCTTAGAGAACTAAACCTGTACGAGCTCACCAACCTGACACATGTGGAGAACTTCCCTTCAGTTGTGGAACTTGACGTGTTTGACTGCCCTGAGCTCAAGAGGATCAACGGCCTCCCCATGTTGCAGAAGATTAGGATCGTTCGCTGCACAAAGCTGGAGGTTCTAGAAGGTGTCCCAGCACTCGACAGTCTTCGACTGGAGGACGCCACCATGGACACGCTTCCGGAATACCTGCGAGCCGTAAACCCAAGGTATCTCGAGTTGGGTTGCAACCTGGAACTATGCGAATCCTCCTTATCACCGGGTAGCTCTGAATGGAACAAGATCAGCCATATTGGAAAACGCAACATTGGCTGGCTCGAAGATTAATTAGTACTGGATGGTTTGGATGACCGAGGACTGCACGGCTGCATCGAGAATAGCTCATGCATTTAGGTAATCAGTATAGCGCCCGTGTTAACATACGACATCATTTCAGGGATGCAAATAAAAACAACCAACCGCCGATTTTTTTTCTAGAGTTCAACTTTCACACAATTGTATATGACCATGTATACAATCCGGAAAACACTTATGCATAACAAGGCATAATAAATTTATTTCTCACATTATTAACCATCTAATTTACGATCTAACTCTCACCAACCCAACCACGTTCCGTGTCTCAACACATCATACAACTATCATTTGGACCACAATAAAGCATCGAAATAAATGCAAGGCTAATCTTAAGATGTTTCTATAGTGCACTGATAGGCATATGATCATGATGCAGTAATCCTTAAATCTTTTTTCTAGTTGAAACAGTAGTCAAGGCAAATGCATTGATAGTTTATTTAATTTTCAAATACTAGGATCTTGCCTGTGCGTTGCAACGGGAACAAAATAATATCACAATAATTTTAAGCTTAATCATGCATATTAGCCTGTGAGTGTTATTTCTTTATGTGATTGCAGCATTTCACCAGATTTCTTAGCTTTTCTTCAACAGTCTCCATAAGGGAACCTCTGCGTTGTAGAGATATGATTTTCGATGTGGAAGAGTTTGTTTCTGAAATAGTTTTTTTTCTGCTGTATCTTTTTTTCGCAAACTCTTTTTTGCCGTATTTTTTTGGAAACGGGGATGTGGAAGAGTTTGATTTTTTTTTTGCCTTGTATATGTTTTTTTGGAGACATTTTTTTTTGCCGTACTTGATTTTTTCGGTTTGGAAACGGGGAGGTTGGTTTTTTTTTACTGTGTTTTTTTTTTGCCGTGGGGCGGGGCGACGCAGACGATAGCTGCAGGGATTTTTTAGGTGTAGATAGATAGATAGAAGATAGCTACCTATGTGGACGTGGCGATCGCATACACAATGATCGTCTCCCTTTTTAGATGGTACGATCTGGATTGCATGTGAACATGTTAAGACTGATCCGGAATTTTTCTTTTGGCCAAGACCAATCCGGATTTTGCATGTGGACATGCACGTGCACCGTATATGCTGGGGGGGGCGAGCGTCCGGAATTTTCTTTTTGGCAAGACCGATCAACGTATTCTCGGGGCAAGCGTGTACACTCTGTTTTTTAGGTGGTACTAATTGGCGGCGTGGGGTGATCGCGTAATTGATCACGATTGTTATGGGAATTGATTTTTGCCTTCCTGATTTGCTGCGGTTGTTATGGGAATTGAGCTGATCGCATGGAGCGGGTGCACGTTGCCTTCATGATCTGATCGCACAGAGGGAATTGATTTTGCCTTCCTAATTTGCTTCACTGTTATGGGGATTGAGCTGATCACATGGAGCGAGTACCGTCACCTTTCTGATCTGATCGCATGGAGCGGCTTTGGTGTAGCACATGTGGACGGAATAGTTATGAATGTTTTAGTTGTAGAGATTTGACAAAAGACAAGGTGCCATACATTTCATCAAAAAGAATTTATAATACATCGTACACAATTGCTGTAGGACTTCAAAACCTAGCGTACATGGACCTGTAATACATGATGACCTCAACTCGCTTTGCCATGTAATAAAATGTCTAGTGTACAATGGTAAGTACAGAAGACTTAAGTTTTAAGCACTCTGACCATAGATAAGTGATACTATCTAAACTATGGAACCATCCTTGTGAAATCACCTTTTCTCTTTGTTTCTCCCATCTACAATACCATCCAGAACTACCAAACAACTCTCAGGAAGTCATGTACCAAGCAACCATCGATGATAATTTATCTTGTGCCATTAGTTTGACATAGGGTCCATGCCATCAGGAAGTAAACAAGTAGACACAACTTAAAAGAACCATTATCTTCACAAATCTCCTTCAACATCAAATAGTACCTCCAACATCAAATCAAATTAAAATAAAATGGGAACCGGAAAGAACCTGCTTCTATTTCTGCCATATAACATATCCACTAAAACCTGCAAGCACATTTATAGGTATCGAGAAGAATATTTCATATGTATATGTGCGAAGTTAGAAGCATCCTTTTTTTTCCAGCAATCCTGTACAGACTATTCTACAAGTACACAATTTTTCAAGAGCCCAAAACATTTACAGCTTCCTGATATTTTAGTTTAATTTAAAATAAATTACTAAAATATAAAACACCTTTGCTGACATTTTCATGTTAATTTATTCTGAAATACATGCAGTATATCATAAACCAAATTTCTTGTCTTCAAACAGAGAGAAAAATAAAGTTGGAATGTACAACCTACCCCAAATATGGAATCAGATAACCATGACTTTCTACCAATTATTATGGCATTGTGCACATCTTCATTAGAGAGGTAAGAGATCATGTGATCAAGTAAAAAGCTTATGCACACTAAAATTTAATACTCCAAAATCACTGAAGACTATGCTAGTTACAAAAAAAAAGACTGCGCATATTCCCCACTCCATGGCAGCCTCAATCAGAGAATGTATGATCAGCTCAAAAAGCATGAAGATTAGTAGCTCCCACAATGTTTGCCCTACAATATAGTGGCAGAAAAGAACAAATTGATCAGGGTATTAGTATAGAGAGTCCTTCCTCAGATCCCATTTATTCTTTTGCCTTCCATGTGATCCTCTACATGGCAATCTCACTGTTCCTGTAGTAGGCTGAGATAACTAACAAGAACATTGGAGTGCTGAGTTGCCTAAAATTTGTAGATTATGCCAAATCCACCACCCCCTAGTAACGAATGTTGCCTAAAATTTTTGGTAATTCTCTTAAGCTCCTCAAATGTGAACGCTGTCAAAGGATTGCGAGTTGTATCCTTTCTCAGCGCCTCCATCTCTTTCGGGTTGAATGGTAGCTGGCAGTCCTCCTTTTCAATTCTCTCCGATGGGCTCTACATTTTGGGAGATTCTGCAGAAAACAAATAGGCAAGTCAAATATGGAGACTGAAATATAGGATGCAGATTATTCAGAAACTTTGTAAAATCAGTTACCAAAAAGCAGAACAAAAGTGTCTGATCATTACATGGAATAGCCATAAAATCAACTGTCAAGGTTAGAAACAGAAAGAATCATTGGATTGGGTCAGATTAAACATTAGGACTTATTTTTTTGTGAAGAAAATATTCAGTACTGAAATAGCTGTAACTGGATTAAGCAATAGCAGGGACATGTTCCCTGATTCTATCAAGATGAGAGAACACACACACTCTCTCTCTCTCTCTCTTATAAAAAAACAGCATCTTCGTTAATGCCTAAATTGAGGGGATCAAACAAATACCTGAAACTTCTGCATAATATCATTCAGAAGAAAGAGCAAGCATTCAAGCACTTTGATCCCAACTTTTGTGCTGAAAACAATGCTCTTTTCAATATATCAAATTAGCTTTCGTACCTCATTTATGTGGGAAGTGTCACGTTTGCAAGTAACCTAGCATTGTTTCACATTAACTGCTATTTGATTATTCGGAAACCTTGGAACTTCTTGGTTGCATATAAAAGATTGCTGACATACTCCAAATAGTGATTGCCAGTGGCATCACCGTGCATGCCTACATAATTCAAGGATTTATAGCCTTAGAGATACTGCGATAACACAGTTAGCACCAAATCTTGTTCTTCTGTACTCAACTCCCTCTTGACTCGACATAAAAAAAACTCCCTCTTGACTCTGCAGTTCGCACGCTAATGAGCAACAGGAAGGGACGCAGCGGCCATGGCCGCGGTGTGGCGATTACCTCGGAGGTGCTGGAGCCGAACTAGAGGAGGCCGGGCTGCCCATCCGCGGACTTGTTCTTGAGCTCCTCGATATTGCAGCGCTCTGCCTCACGCTGCTTCTCCAGCCGCCGGATCTTCACCGCATCCTGCGCCGTCCCCACGTACCTATCGCCCCAAAGCGAATGGATGCCACCAGCCCACCACCAGCAGAGGAGGGAGTCGATGTCGTGGTCAAGAGGGCGGGGCGCCTATGTCGAGCCGGGAGGAGCAGGGGCGTCGCCATCACATCTCAGGGAAGGAGGGCGCCGATGGGCACCGTCGGCTTCGCAGACAACGCCGCCGCCATAGCCGAGCCCGTCGTCGCCTTCGCAGACGCCCGCCGCAGGGGGGCTCGCGGCCGGTGACAATGAGGAAGGGCAGTGACTACAGCCTCCATGCCCCCCATGTGGTGGGTAGAGCAGATGTAGACGAAAGAGAGGACGTCGTGGAGGGGAAGGGAGGGCGAGAAGACGGCCTCCTGCTCGTGACTCATGAGCAAGGCCTCGTCGTGACTCCGACGTGCAAGGAGTAAGGGCGGGCGATGGAAATCTGCTGATGATTGGGTGACGAGGTAGCTTCCTTTTTGAGCCGTTTAAGCGTGTGTCAAGCCTGACCTGCAGGCGCATGCGCGTGGGAGGTCCGCGGGAGGGCGATGGAGGGCAGACACACTAAACATGAGCCGTCGGATTTGGATGAGTAATGAGAGAGAATGGCTACGAGATAATCTGGTGCATCCGTTTTGATGGTGTTATATTTTCTAGGTGCATTCATGGGTGTGGATGTAGCATAGGTCATGACTGTGGAGCAGGCATTTATTGTGTGGCTGCAGATTTATTCTAACTGGTGTATTATAGGGGGTAGATAATTAATATGCAATCTTTTACTACTATAGACCGAAAGTGGTTTTCCAGATTAGTACTATAATTATTGCTTGTACTTCGATTCGTTGCATAACCACAGTAATATCCATGCATCAACCACTGATTACATCAATTATTTATGTGATTAGCAGGCGGAGAATGCTTCCATTCGGCCAGGGGCATCAAATGTTATGGCGATTAAAGAGAAGTGATACAGCCTGAAGAGAAGACATCCACACTTGTTTTAGAATAACGAAAATAGTGCTAGCGTTCACCTTAATTTTCCCTCTATAAGTCTTTCGGCACATATATTTATTACC